CATCGTTGTTGTTTGGCGGGTCCGGGCTGGGGATTCGAACCCGCCACCTTAGGTGTACATGGCTGGCGCCTTAGCCGGTTGAGCTATAGGCGCCGAGCCTCAACAGGCTCTTAGAAAGAAATTTGAGCTAAAGGAAAAAAAGGTCAAGGTTACATTTTTAGTGCTTAGGTCACTGATTGTTGCTTCTAATTCAGGTACAGACGGGGAGGCCCACAACCATTATCTTATACCTACGTCCCCCCACCCCAAGCTTGCAAGCTCCTCCTCCTCTGTCTAAAGTGACATCCAAGAGATTTTAAAGACTTCACTTTCCTCCTTATTCATTTTTCTCTTTTTCCCTTTATGGGAGCCAGACATTCTATGTCCATGAATTGGAAGACTTAATACTGTTAACATATCAGTACTACCCAAAGTGATCTGTAGAGCTGGGCATGATGACTCACGCCAGTAAGCTTAGCACTTTTGGAGGCCGAGGCAAGTAGATTGCTTGAGCTCAGAAGATTGAGAATAGCCTGGATAAGAGCAAGATCCTGTCTCTACTAAAATAGAAAAAATTAGTCAGGTGTTGTGGCAGGTGCCTATAGTCCCAGCTACTCAGGAGGCTGAAGTAAGAAGATTGCTTGAGCACAAGTTTTGAGGTTGCTGTGAGCTATGACACCACAGTACTCTACTGAGGGTGACAGAGTGAGACTCTGACTCAAAAAAAGTGATCTGTAGATTTGATGCAATCCCTATCAATGTCTCAATGACATTTTTTGCAGAAATTGAAAAGTTCATCCTAAAATTCATAAAGAATCTAAAGGGGCCCCCAAACAGCCAAAATCTTGAAAAATATGAATATAGGCTGGGTTTGGTGGCTCACACCTGTAATCCTAGCACTCTGGGAGGCCAAGATGGGAGGATCCCTTGAGCTTAGGAATTCGAGACTAGCCTGAGCAAGAGTGAGACCCCATTTCTACTTAAATAAAAAAAATTAGCCAGGCGCTGTGGCAGGTACCTGTAGTTCCAGCTACTTAGGAAGTTGAGGCATAAGGTTCACTTGAGCCCAGGAGTTTGAGGTTGCTGTGAGCTATGATGATGCCATAGCACTCAACCCCAGGGTGACAGAGTAAGTCTCTCTCGGAAGGAAGGAAGGAAGCAAGGAAGGAAGGGAGGAAGCTTAGAGGTCTCACACTTCCTTATTTCCAAACTTATTTTAATACAAAGCTACAGTAATCAAAACAATATGATACGGGCATAAAAGCAGACACATCAATCAACAGAATAGAAAAGAGAGCCCCCAAATAGGTATGTGGTCAAATGACTTTTGAATAGCTTGCCAAGACATTTTTTTCTTTTTGAAGCAGAGTCTCACTATGTTGCCCTCGGTAGAGTGCAGTGCTGTCACAGCTCACAGCAACCTCAAACTCTTGGGCTTAAGTGATTCTCTTGCCTCAGCCTCCC